GGGGGGGGGGGGGGGGTAGGAGGCAGAGGATGGCATGTGGGCAAGGCCAGGAATTCTCCAGCAAAATCCTCCCAGAGGGTGACCCAGCCCATTGAGGTCACAAAGCACAAGAGAGGTGTGAATTCCTCTTTTTTTTAATCGTCTTCTGCCCATTGTGCGTTGTGGTAGAGTTGTGCTGCAGAAGATCCGTCCCAGGCTGGGCTTTGTTGCTCTTTGGATGAATAAAGCAAGGGATTCACAATACTGTACGGACGACTTTTTAAGACCTGTGGACTTCAATTCCCAGAATTCCCCAGCCAGCCATGCTGGCTGGGGAATTCTGGGAGTTGAAGTCCACACGTCCTCAAGTGGCCCCCCAAAATTGGTACCCGTGAAATTCCAGACAGGTGTGGACTTCCAGGTGTGCAACCAGGAAAAAGAAGGAAAAAAACCCACAACTGGGCATAGGGCAGATTCTGTAAAATAATAATAATAATAATTAAAATAAAATAATTATTAAAATAAATATAAATAATAATAATGGGGTCATTAATCCCGAAGGGGGAGGGGGGAAATACCTCAATCACCTTCCCCCACCCCCCAAACCAGCTTTAGAGAATTCTCAAATCCCGCAGAATCGACAAATTAAAACTCGACGGGCCAAAGTGGGCTTAACTTTACCAAAGAGACTTTAATCACACCAGTGGACTTTTTTTTTTTAATAAGGGTGAAGGGAGAAGAAAGTGGGTTTGTCAAAGGACGGGCAGGTTTTGTTACGAGTGGATTCTTTTTGACCCTCTAAAATATCTCCGTTGTGACCCAAGGCGATGCTCGGTTGTGTTCCTTGCTCCCTGGGGTGCGTTGCGTGTTTGTGAAGCTAAGGTCGGTTGCTGAACTTTGCCTGCAGAAGTTGCGGCGGCTCCCAACACTTGAGGTGTTCTGTTTTTGTTTTATTAAAGAAAGAGACAGGATAAGCCATTCATCTGGAACGGTTTAGGTCTCCCGCTTGAGCAGCGGGTTGGACTAGATGGCCTCCAGGGTCCCTTCCATCTCTGGTTATTCCACTCCCAAAACTTGGCTCCAAAGGACAGTCTGCACTCCTCTGGAGAAGCCGCTTTCTCAAAGCCAGGTGCGTTTCCTGTTTTCTTCGCAACTCAGCCGGGTTTCCGGTTGCCACCACACAACCGAGTTGTGTAACCCGGTGCAACAACTGGGCCTGCGAAGGGATGAACAAGCCGCCTTCCCAGGGGTGAGTAGCCTGCCCGTTAATCTCGGAAACCAGCATGCCTGGCTGGGGAAGTTTAAATGGGTTGTGTAGCCTTGGAAGATAGTGGACTTCACCTCTCTATATATACAGGTGGCACACATGACACACTATATGAATACAGCAAACCCCGCTCCCTTCTAATACTGATGATGCAACCTAGACGGAGAAGGAAATGTCTGCAACAAAAGAGCCAAGCTCAGAGAGCACCAAGGACCCCCGCAGTTTTCCTCCTCACAAAACTCAACTCTTCTAGCACTGATGATGTTACCAGGTTGGGTAATGAAACGTCTGCAAGGAAACAGCCAGCCTCAAAGAGCAATACCCCATAGTCGTCCGTCCTTCCTCCTTCACCATCACTTCCTCCGCCTCTTTCTTCTTCTCTTCCTCCTGCTCCTTTTATCTTCCTCCTTCCACTCCACTGTCTTCTAGCACTGATGACGTTACCTAGTTGGGTCATGAAACGTCTGCAAGAAAACCAAGCTCAAGAGAGCGCCAAGGACCCCACACAGTCCTCCTCAAGCCCCACTCCCTTCTTGCACTGATGATGTTACCTAGTTGGCTCATGAAACGTCCTCAAGAAAACAGCCAGCCTCAAAAGAGCACCAAGAACCTCACAGTCCTCCTCCATTCCTCAAACCCCACTCCCTTCTGGCACTGATGAGGTTACCTAGTTGGGGAATGAAACGTCCACAAGGAAACAACCAAGCTCAGAGAGCATCAAGGAATCCTTTTGTGAGTCTCGGTGCTTTGAGCTTGTTTCCTTGCGGACGTTTCGTTCCCCAGCTAGGTAATCTCATCAGCGCTTCCGTTGGGGTCTCTTCCATTGGTCTATTAAACTTCTAAGTTTTTCTTTTTAAAAATTAAAAAAAAAAAAAGGCCGCACATTGAATGGTTTTGGAATTAATACAAGGACTGGGTTTTATCCCTCGCCCTCCCTTACAAAACAATGGACCGGGCTTTGGAGATTTTGAAATTAAATGCTTTGGAAGCTGGTTTCAGGCCAGGCGCGCCATTACAAAAATAATGAGCTGCTGAAATTCACAGCGTGGAAGGAGAGAAAGTGGAATTTTGTTATTTCCTTCCTTCCTGGCCTTTCTGCTTGGTTTCTCCAAGTGTTTTTTCTCTTTTCTGACGCAACCAGAGCAATGGCATTTTGAGTTGGAGCCATAATCATTTTAGTGTAATGGTTTCTGCGGAAATCTACCCAAGCTTTGCTGTGTTTTCAGCTACGCCTAACATCAAGTTAACCTGGCCTCTTCCTGATTGGCTAGGACGTCTCCCAGAATTCTTAGCTAGCCATGGGGCAGAAAATAACCAGGAATTCTGGGAAATATACTCCCAGAACATCCCTGCAATTGATTGGAGAAGACGACCGTAAGCGCCATGTCAATACCCGCCTCGAGCTGAAGATGCCCTGCTAGCTGTTTACGGTTAGTGCTCGACTTACGACTACAGTTGAACCAAACATTTCTGCTGTTAAGCGATAGAACTTGGAAACTTGTACGCCGCTTCACGGTACTTTTACGGCCCTCTCTAAAGCGGTTTACAAAGTCAGCTTCTTGCCCCCAACAATCTGGGTCCTCATTTTACCGACCTCGGAAGGCTGAGTCAATCTTGAGCCGGTCAGGATTGAACTGTCAGTCGACAGAGTCAGCCTGTAATGCTGCAATCCCTGCGCGGCTCAGAAAGTCATTGAGGCCACTTGGAGGTTTATCTGTTCTCTGAGGGGTCACCTGTATAGCGCAAAGGGGTGTGGAGCCTTCTTGGAACTGCTTAAAAAGGATCGTATTGAAAACTTGTAAACCGCTGGTTTAAAAGAGAGGTCAAAGAGGCCATCTAGGTTAATATTAGCAGATTAACAGAGTTGGAAGGGACCTTGGAGGTCTTCTAGTCCAACCCCCTGCTCAAGGGGACCCTATACCATTTCAGATAGGTGGCTGTCCAGTCTCTTCTTGAAAACCTCCAGTGATGGACACCCACAACTTCTGGTGGGAAGCTGTTCCACTGGTTAATTATTGTTTTCCCTGTGAGCAAATTTTAATTCCAGATGGCTTTTCTCCTTGATTAGTTTCCATCCGTTGCTTCTTGTTCTACCCTTGGGTGCTTTGGGGAAAAGATTGATCCTCTCTTTTGGGGGGGCAGCCCCTCAAATACTGGAAGACTGCTATCCTGTCACTCCAGTCCTCCTTTCCACTAGATTAGACCTATCCAATTCCTGCAACCGTTCTTTATATATGATTTATTCTCCAGTCCTCTAATCACCCTGGTTGCTCTTCTCCGCACTCTTTCTAGAATCTCAACATCTTTTTCATAATGGGACCAAAAACTGCGGCATTCTAGGTGTGACCTCACTCAGGCTTTACGTCTCAACCAAGTGGGGGATGGAAGTACACCACCACGCATCTCCTGTTTCCAACATGGTCCTTTCAGCAGTTCCACCCTCAGGGCACAGGTAAACCAAGTGGCCTCAAGGACTCTCTGAGAGACTACCAATGACCAGATGACTGCGAGGACCGCAAATCCTTCCATCCACCACCATTTAGTCAGAATCGAAGCTTCTTGGATGAGAAGATGAAAAGTCTTCAAGGAAAAAACAACAACCAAGAAAGGCCAGTTGCCTCTTGGAAAGAAAAAGAAAAATTCACCTTTGGGACTTGTAATATTTTCCAACCACTCTCCACCTCCAGCATTGTGCAGAGCATAATAAGAGTGATTGGTAGGTAGTGCTTCTGCCCAGCAGCTGCTACCCGGTGGGAGGGAGAAGAAAAGAGGAACTTAAATTATCCACCATAAAACTGTAAGGATAAAACTCTGCACAAATTTCATCCTTGTAGATAAAAGAGTTCGATCATCTGGTTGCGACAAATTACACGGGCCTATTTTTTTCTGCCAACTCAGCCCTGGAGGAATGCAGATTAAAGAGACTGACGAAAACCCTTTGAGAGTTAGGGCCCTCCTACCTCCTCCACCAGGGAGAAAGCATCCATCACTAAGAGGACATCTGTAGACATCATAAGTTCTTGATTTAGGCCAGACATGCTCACCACGGTCCCAGCTGTTGAAGTTCTCCACCGGTTTGGTGGTCTTCTAGCTGAGCTTTGACCTTTGGGTTTCTTCAGATAGCCATGCCACAAGGAGCTGGCTTGTGGGACCCCTCGAGAGACCTAACGGGCAGGAATTCTGAAGTTTTGGATTCCCTTCATCCCACATGTGCAATAGTTAGTGTGGAGGAAACACCCAGTGCTTCTTCACGCAAGGTCAAGCAATCTTAGGGGGTAGGTCTTCCAAAACCACATGTCCATCTCCCTTTCCATCTCCTGCCTGGACATAAAAGTCCTTCTCAATTAAAGCTTGGCTCCAGATGATGATGTCACGTTGGTTTCTTGACAGCTGAGGTGTCCACTCAACCTCCTCCTGGCGTCTGTTGGGACCTTCTCAATGGGATGGCTGACTTGAATCTATCCCTCCAGATGGGAGTAGAAATATAGGTACAGAGGTGGTATATTCAGCCAGTGCTGACCAGTTCTGGAGAACCGGTAGTGGGAGTTTTGAGTAGTTCAGAGAACCGGCCAATCCCACCTCTGACTGGCCCCACCAACCCCCATCTCTTCTCTCTGCCTCCCATCGAGTCCCAGCTGATCGGCTGGG